TGGGGCGGGACTGCGGGCAGGTGCGGTGCAGGTGCGGGTACAGGCCTGGGGCCCCTGCCCTCCAAGCGGGCTCTTTGGTGCTAGGCCCTGGGACTGGTGCGCTCGGCCTGTCACCGGGAAGGGTCACCGGCCATATTTATGTGATGGTATTTATGGGCAGGGCACGCCCACTGCGCCCCTGGGGCTGGAAGGCTGCCTGCTTCCTGCCGCCCGGGAGGCCTGACTCAGGACTGCGGGGCTCTGAGGGGCTTGGGGCGGCGGGCTCGGTACCTTGTGAAACCCAGTAAGTTAAGAAAGGAGCAGCCGCTACTGGAGGCCTGTGCGTGTGCGTGTGTGTGTGCGTGTGTGTGCGCACACGCGGCTCTGTGCGGGCCCCACGGGGCACCCCCCTGGGTGCACCTGCATGATTGTCCTCGGACAGGGGCCTCCCTTGACCAGGATACTCGATGGGTACCTGGCTCACTCGGCCCCTGCTCCTCCCTGGGGGTGCCAACTAGTAAAGCTGGGGTTCACCCTGGTTCTCAGGAGCTGCTCAGGCGGAGGGGAATGGACCTGCAAGGGGAGCTCACAGCCAGGGCGCCCGAGACCCAGGGGGCAGCTGGTCCCGGAGCCGGTGGGCTGAGGGGAGGGGCTGCCCTAGGGCGGGGGTGGCGTGGGGCAGCGTGGGGGCCCCCCACCCCTATTCCTGCCCCTCCTAACCTCCAGCCGGAAACAGTGTTGAGGAGAGAACGTCACAGGGTGGGGTGGCCAGTAGAGAGGGTTGGACCCAGATTGTCCCACCAGACACAGGGTCTGAGCTTTAGCCCCTGTCCCCTCCCCTCCAACAACCAGCCCAAGGGCAGAGGACCTCATGGGGCAAAGCACAGAGGTTCTAGGAGGCCTGGCCCCCTACAGACGAGCAGTGAGCAAGGGACAGCCGAGGAGGCCCAGTGAATGAGCCACATGTTAAGACTCGAGTAGGTGCAGTAAGTTTCGGGGGGGAAGTCAAGGAGGAACCGTCCTGGAGGCTGAGTCAGGGGCGGGCGCACAGGCCCGGCTGCCGCGGGTGTCCCGGCCCAGGACCGGAGGCGGCAGGGAGGCCGAGAGAGGGAAATCCGAAAGAGAGGCTAATAG